CCCACGTGCACTGCAATGTTCTAGAACGTCCCGCAGTGTGTAAAACCACGCCAGAACTCCCCCTCTCGTGCGATAGGCCAGGAACAGTTTAAAAGGACCAGCGCCTCATAATAGGCTGTAGTGGGCACGCTGATTCATTCTTCGGCTGTCTCTTTATTGCGATCAGAACCGGCTTTGCCTCCTTCTACCCGTTTCTCCTGGGGATATGTCAGAAACAATAATGAGGCGCCTAAGTGGGCGATTGGACGCCATGTTGCTATGTTGGATATAGATCAATCATTATGGCCAATTTATGTGGTTTCCCGGGATTATTTAGATGAGTTGTTATTAATTTAGGTAAAGACAGAATGTTTTTATATAAGAGGTCATTTAAACCATTAAGAGAATTTCCAGGTATTTCTATAAAATAAACATGACTATGGCCGCGTTTGGCCTCGTCTGACCACACCAGGTGAGCGGAGCCATGTGTTGGTAGGGTAGCGATCACAAGTAGCAGCTGACCGTTCGTCTACCCAACAAGCCAAAGTGTTTGCAAGTTTCCGTAAGTCCACAGTAGCCAATATGTCAACAATTATCTGTCGTTTCGGTGGAATGAAAGAAACAGTTTCTTATCGGAAAACTTTGCGCACTTTGTGTGGGTATTTATATCAACCCTCAACGACTTTTTGTCCGAACAATGTACGCGAACATTTTCAGTTAGACTGAAAAGTGGGAAATCAAGTCTAGGTCAACAGCATTTTTCCGGTAGTAAAAGATTATGCCATATCTGGAAAATCCAATGTTGAAACAGGATGAATAACGTTTTCATTCATTCGGAAAGTTTTATCTATGGTGATGGGCAATTTGGGGTTGCGATCAAATGTTCCTAAAATTTGGACATATCCGTTTTGCATAAGGAAGCAATCTATCCAAAAGGTTTGGAAAATCTGGTATATGTGGAAAACAGTAGGATAGGCCACTGAAAGGTTTTATTCACGTCATTGTGACTTTGTCAATGCTGAGTACTTTTATGTTTGGGGTGAAAAACCCGGAACCGGTAAAGGTCTTCAAACTCATCATAACAGCGCTATTGAATCTAGTACCTGATATTTAAGTAGCGCCGTTACCGAATTGAAATCTTTCAGTAGGTCTCTTCCAAAGGGTTGGACGTATATATAAGCAGTTAGATCTGCAGTCTTCCAATAAGGCCATTTAGCATTCACGTCATAGTGGAGACGGTCGTCCGAACATTTAAGTTTCTTGCGTTATAACTTGAACTGATTAAATAACAAAGGAGTGGTAAAGTTGGGCGGGTGAAATCGATCCAAGGGTGAGTAAACTTACGGTGCTAAGCATGGCATTTGTAGCTCAACTGGTAAAGCATTGGCTTCGCGTAAAGGCCTTCCCTACCATGCCTGTTCAAATCTCGCCAAATGCCGCGAGTTTTTCACTATTGGGTCAACTAAATTAAAAAAAATATTTCAAAACTCCTAAATAAATAACTAAACTGCTAATAGTCGATTTTCCAGGGAGTTTGTCTTACATTTCAATAACTGAAGAACAGACAAACAAAATGATTGTCCACTGTGAGTGCTATAGCACAATGACGCAATGATTTTCAGAAACAACGGTGAAGCCGCCTACTTCTATACTAAATAACATTCTGCCCTGTGGTATGCGTGTTCCAAAAGTTAATACACCCCTTATTTGATTCTAATCCTAATTGTACATTTTCTTTTTTAGACTATCCGCATTACGAAATGTTTGCTAATAAAAGGTTGGTTTTAAGTATTATCTACCATTTTTAAGGCGTACAGCAAAGGTTCATATTCGAAACACGAACCGCCTAACATTGCCGGTCACCAAGCAGATAACGCACAAGAGGACAATTATCGTTAATTGTTCTAAGTGTGCAATAATGACTGTATCCTATAAATACGGAAACTTCCTGTGCATGCAGTATCCGCTTCTGTTACTTTTTTTTTCTCCTGATGTCTCTGATGAAGAATCTGCGGCGGATGTCAAAATGTCAGGCGAATAAAAGTCGGTAGGAGTACCTCGTGGGGCCGCCTGGGGAAGCGCGCTCCTCAGACTCAAGGGCACCTGATTTTAGGGGAGTGGAGGGGCGGGGCATGTCAGGGAACAAATCAGATCGCAGTAATCCTATAAATAAAAAAGTTATGAGGGAAAGTTGGGGCGGTTACTCAAACCTCGGGCGAGGACACTGAAATAGGCTTTCATATCATCGCTAACCCCCCGATGAGCCAACGGCGAGCGTATGTATGTCAGTGGAGCGTGCCCTAACCCCGGGCGAGGTCATTGGGAAACATTTTCTAGTAGTACCACTAACCCCAACTAGAATAAAGGCAAATGAGTGAGGAAGGTTTGAGGATTGTGCGATTCACCCTACTTAAAATTTTTAAGTAAGCGATTATTCCCGTAGTTAATTTGAAAAACCAATTTGCTTAATATACTGAGGTCATTAAATGTGGAGGTCTTCGGAGGGCTCCTCTGTAGTTCAATGATATCATCGAATCCCTACTGGATCGACGACCGGCGTTCAGAAAACCGGAGGAGTGTGGGTAATTTAACCTACTTAAATTTTGTAAGTAGGTAGTTATGGTACATAAGGTCCCTTTGAAGACCCAACGAGGAAACCTTACCTAAAAGTCTTGTCCCAGCATTCGCATTTTCTTCAAAATATTTTATTCTTTTGAACTTCAGGATAAATGCAGCATAAGTGGAACCTACTTTTGCTCCTCGTCAGTAGCGTTCACAGTCTCAGATAGTGAATTTTTGATATATTTTAATCTTTATTTTAAACCCTGCTCTCGCACCCAAAATAAGTAAACCTCGAAATTAGATATCCCAACAAGCATTTATAATCTCTAACTGCGTTGTTGAAAACTATCACATCAAAAACGTCTTTCGTACGCGTTCTCATGCTTGTCGTTTACGTATTCTTTCGTTCACCCAAACAAACTGTGTTAAAAATGATTTAAACATTCTGCGCGACCTAGTAATTTAGCATTTTAGTATTAAAAAATACTGCAAGTAATTCTTGGTGTTAATTTAAGAACAGAAAATGGCTCCACGAACTTGACGGACGACACAGCTTATCTTATCAAGGAATTGGGACAACCCCTGAGGGAGGCCCTAATTGAGGTTGCTATCAAGAAACCGCGGGATCCCATTGAATTTATCGCCCGTTTTCTTCAGCATGGGGTGGAAACGAGGGAATACGAAAGACAGGTCAGTTTACAAGGTCCCAACATTTGTATAGCAAGCAACAGAGGAATGCTGACGAATATTTACCCCCGCTAGTTACTAAATCAGAAGTTTGTTTTTGTTTCTACAGGCTGAGGAAGATTTTCGACTGGAGCAAGAGTTTGAAAGGGAACTGGCAGAAAAGCGTGCCAACGCACTTCGACTGAACAACGAACGCAAGACGATTGAAGCCGAAAAGATGGCCAAGGTACCTCTGTTTCTAAAAGCTCAGAACGTTTGCCAAATAAAATCGAACGTACTGCATAGGTCGATTTTCAGCGTAATTAGGAGTTAGTACGTGGTACTATTTACTGACAAAATAGCGCCATTAGAGTGGGCTCTTACGGCTTGTCTGCCATCCTGTAATCAGGATTAATCGTTTTGGTCGCTTCTATCAAAGTGAGATTTTTTACAAAAACCTGATGATATTTTCAAATTAATAGGCTTCCTACTTGAAAGGTTCCTAAAAAGGAGCCAAAGCATTTTCAGTGTGTCACCTAAAGTTTGTTTAAATAAAAATCCGAACCCTTTGTACAATTTTGCCTCGGCTTTTTGAGAAAATCAAATGGCATGCACCACGCATCTGACGTGTTAACTAAAATTATACAACAGGAGAAGGAATAACAGATTTAAGCGTCAAGCATACCGAGTTTATCTGTACACAAAATGCTTATAGAAGAATATTTGGTTATTTGAAACCAAAGACAGCGCGTTTTTCATCCCGACAGCCGCACTTTTAACCGACAACAAAATGGCGAAAACCTCAGCTATTCCGTCTAATTGCAGCTAAAGACTGGAAGCTACTGAATGCTGTTTTATAGAATTAGGATGGGAAACAATATAACAAAATTTTTACTTAAATGTACGAAAAATATTTTCCGAAACTGTCTACTGGTAGGGAATTATCCGTTTTCTTTTTGGCACTTTTAACTGCTTATTTCTTTCGAACGGATCATTGTTATATGTTTACCAATTATTACTTCATTTTATTAGGTCAGTTGAATTCTAACCGCCTAGATTATTTATTCTCCTGTCTACTTAATATGAATATCTTAATCTTGCGAGATGAATAACATCGTTATGGAATTCTTTTTCGACAGATTATACGTTTTTGTCCTAAACTCATGTAACCTCTGGGAGAAAATCGACTGAATGAACGTATCAAATAGTACATAGAAGAGCAAGTGAGGAGACTGATCTGGCTATTTACAGTTTGTCTGCCGTCGTCGAGCGATCATTCTCAAATTCCAGACTTATGGCTCCAGCTCGGGAGCATTAGCCACTGCGTGTTAAGTCCACGTTTCTAACACTCGGCCACAGACCAACCTCTGTGACAACATACATTCAAATCCATGGAAAATCCCCACACCCTTGATTTGATTGCCAAAACGTGCCTAATAGCTATTAAATTAAATTATTAATTTCTCAAATTTACCCGCTGTTAGGCTAAACCAGTCAAAGGATAAAAAAATTGCTCCTGCAAATCATGGTAGAGTTGGTCACTCAAGGGCCCTTTTCTTCCCCTAATGGTTAAACTATCAGACTTTTTAAAAGAGTTGTTGGATAATTTTACAAATTGTACCTCTTCTAGAAAGCTAGTTAATAACTAAACAGGATACTGAAGTAGGTATGTGACATAAGGATCTTCATTTCATTCAGTTTTAAATGAAAACAGGCTCGAAAAGGTGGCTAGAGTAACGGAGAATCTTACGCCTTGGTATGTATGCACATGAGTGTTTTTTTACCTTAAACGCTCCAGTTCGCGAGTTCGAATCTCGGGTAGTAAACCACTTGGGATTTGGTATGACTAGCTGATGACGGTTAATAAGCCAGAAATGGCGATTTCCGTCTCTCTTGTCTTTGCCGGC